AAATAGCTCCGATTGTAAAGTAAAATAAATCAATACATACAAAATTTTAGTATGGATTGCAAACGTTTACTGTTTTTGCTACTGCCTTCCTGCTACGTAAGCAGACACAAAGCATTGTGGGAAATCAGAACCGTGGCCGAATGCAACAGTCAGCAGGATGTATACCTTCACAATAAGTGTGTTTATCTGGGAGGGGTGCTGTTATATAGATCACATGTTGTGATTCATTGACAGTCATACCTTCTGCTGTTCAAGATAATGATGACTGGTAGATAATTAGTTATTAGCGATACTGCATTTGTTTTTAGAAAGCGCAAATCCGCTTATGAATTATAGAAATGAGTAAGTCCGCTAAAGCGCAAATGAAAAATTTAGGTCCACAATTAGCGGAGTTGCGCTTTAGCGGGCTGGTGCCCACCACTGCTTACCACCATCAGTGTGTGCATGGGTGAAGTGTAAAGCGCTTTGGGGTCCATATGGACTTGATAAAGCGTTATATAAGTTCAAGCCATTTACTATTTAAACTGCTCAACAAAACGTTTATTCTGCTGTTAGCAGGYTAATAGAACTATTCCTACCACTGTCTATTTATGAATCACTAGAGAAAGCCTAGAAGGAGCCTAGTCAGGCCATTTCTGGGCTTTTATGAATTACTTAAGAGTGTCAACTTAAAGTGTAGCTCTAAAGTTTATTAGTGGGCTTCCTGAGTGGATACAGTCATTATTGAGGGAAGTGTATGACTCACAGATAAGCCTCTGGGCCCTGGTGGTCCAGGAAGACCCGGTTCTCCCTCCAGTCCTTGAGCTCCCATGGGACCTGCCGTACCTTCATGTCCTGGCTGACCTGGTCTGCCATCAGCTCCTGTAGCTCCTCGTTGGCCTTTTTCTCCACGCTGGCAGTAAAAGTATAAATCAGTGACAGTGCTGGATTTCCAACAGTGGATTTAAGGTAAGATTGACAGGTTTGTGAGCAGTAGGACCAGGGACAAGCACTGAAAGCTGACTGAAGGAGAAAAAAGAAAGAAAAGCGCTAATAAAACAGAGAGAACATGAAGGAAACTAAAACACAAAGAACCCAAAGGAAATCGACTGGATCGTCTAACTTTTAGTGTTTCCTGTCCTTGTGGTATTTTTATTCACAGTATTTCCATATTTTGTGTGAATACAGAACACATACATTACTTAAATCAAACATTAATTTCTAAATACCTCTCCTTTGATTCCAGACACTCCGGGAGGACCCTAAAACACAAAGAGAAATTGTCTTCTTTCAGATCCACACCACAAACAAATGGGAATCTACACGAAACATGTTTGGAGGCAAAAATCCTCCTCCTTTCAAATCYTGGGACACAAAACACCTGATCTGATCTTTACCAGAAGTAAATCTAACCTCCACTGAACAAAAACATGCAGCAAATAAAATCATGTCATTATTTTAAAATAAAACAAGACAGTTTGCTGCTGTGGAGCATACAGATGTTTGCATTAACACAAGAAGCAACTGTGGCAATCAAACACACAAGGAGTCTAACGTGGTTTCCAAACTATTTGGAGTGCATCTTTCCACAGAGAGAAATAACATGTGGGGAAAACACAGGATTTTACAGGCCTTTTCAAGGTAAAATTCATAACAGTACATTTAGAAAAAGACAGAACAAGTATGGTTTGTTTGCAAGGATTGCATAAGAAAACGTCTTCTCCCTTAAAAACAACATGGCAGCACAACTTAGGTTTGTGTATCTGAGTGAAGTGCAGGAYTCTGGATGAAAAACTAAATTGTTTGTCTACATTACAATGTAAGCTCAAACAATTCATACTATCAAGCATGGTGGTTGTGGGCTTTTTATATGGGCTTGTTTTGCAGTCACAGGATCTGGACAACTTATGTCTTTTTAAATACCTGATCTCCTTTGACTCCAGGGTCTCCTGCCTGACCTGGGTCCCCCTGTATGAGAACAGAAACACAATGAGTGTGTAACTAATAAACTAAAGGTGTGAAAGGTCATGAAAACATCTGGTGTARCAATGAGTCCTACCTGGTTTCCTTTTGGTCCCACTGGTCCAGAGGTTCCCTAAACAACATGTGAAAATGATTGTGTGATTTGACAATTTTTAAAATAGTATTTGAGTTTAAATTCAGAAAAACAAAAACAGTTTGTCTCACCTGATCTCCTTTAGGCCCAGTATGGCCCTTCATTCCATTGGCACCAGCTTTACCTTTGTCTCCTTTTATACCCTTTTAATACAAGAATCACAATAACATTACTGGATGCTTATTTCACATGAAATTGTCCAAAGAGAAAATTGAGACGACATTGCTCAATTTTTTTAACATATCGTACTAATCTAGAAATTTAGAAAATTGTGACAAAGAATTTATATTAGTTGTTTAAGTTTTGTTGTACCTTGTTTGATCTTACTACAAATTACACTAAAGTACCATATTTTTTCGTGTATAATACTATCGCATGTATAATACGACCCCCCTTTTTTGAGCTTAAAAAGCATAAAAAATTAAATCTTCAAACTACCTCCAATTTCATACAGACTTCAAGATTTTTCAGCCTTTGCAGTCTTTATACATATCAGTAAAATGATCATTGGACTGTTCATTTTATTTTAACAACATATGTACTCAAAGGTATTTTGACAACAAATATACAGTATGTCAGCTGTAGCAGCACCATGTGAATTCTGGCATTTTACACATAGTCCACCAGGAGGCGCCAACACAAAAGTCAGAGACTTCACATGAGTTTTGGGCCAATTTCTGGGGCAAAAGAAGATTACTTCCTACTCGCGAGAGCCCCCTCTGGTGAGAAACTTTTTTCAGGGACACAAACTTTTTCAGAACACCGGTAGACGGCAGCCATTACAGACGAACATGTGTATGTTGTTGTTCGAGGAGCAGCTCGGTCACACGCTAATGTCATTAGTTTGTTATCATCACTAAGGTGCAGGACTGCTTTTTTCTCCCTTTTTTCACATCATGTCATCTGCCTGGATCTGTTATTATCTCGCTCTGAAGCACGGAGTTGTGTCAGAGGTGAGCTCGTTTCAACTACGTTTTATGTCGCGGTCTCATTTCCGGACTCAGGCATTTTGTGAATGAAGCCGATATTTTAGTTAAAATACATAAGTAAAAATATTTATTCGAGTATAATACTACCCCCCAACTTTATGGTTGATTTTATGGATTAAATTTACGTATTGTACTTGAATAAGTACGATAACTACTGATCGGCAGCAGCTTCTCCATCTTTTAGAGCAGAGATTCTTAACCTATGGGCCGTGGCCCAATTGTGGGCAAATGTGCGCTCTGCCATGAGGAAGTTCGGCTTAAAGACATGTCCCAGGGGTGTTTCTGGTACCAAAAGGTGTTTCTGGTCCCCACC